CACAACGTCACACCCCATCCCCAACAACCAAATACAGCTGACATTCCTTCTTCTGGAGAGATTTCAAATTAGAAAAGCTTATGTGGACTAGTACTATGAGCATTTTACTGTCATTAGCATCAAATTCAACCCAAAGCTATTGAAAGGCAAACAAGTACTAGATTTCCAGAGATAAAAGATATAAATCAGCCCATCCCTTAATCTTAATATAGGAGACTAGATCAAGATCTTAACTATATCAAGAATAATGACAGCTAGTTTTATAGAGAAAGGAAAGCTTCCAGGGTAAACTTTCTCAGCTGGTTTTCAAAAATCTGTTCAAATATTTACATTTAAAATAAACCCTTTCACTGTAGTTACCAACTTTCAAAGTGCCAGGAACCAGTGAAATAGAGGAGCTATTCGAAAGCATAGATAGGTTGAATACTGTTCTCTGAGGCTGCAGTCATTTTACCTAAACAAATTATGTGAAAGAGAAAACCTTATTTGTGAGGAATATCACCACATTATTAGAATGCTCTTTGGCTGACACAGTTATATATCTCCTGGATGTTTCAATATGCAGATATCCTTCCATGATAGCAGAACAAAGTACACATCTCCACTGGTCTGGAAAGAATATGCCTGGGGATGATATGTAAGGTAGTTTGGGTTACCCAGATATTGGGTATTTGTCTAATTTTCCATATTTTCCCTTCAAAACTCTCATCTACTCTATGGCAGGTACATTCCCATTTATCAATACAAACTGAACAACATTAGTAATTGCTGTATTCTTGCTTTTTGGTATCACTCTTGAAAAGCCTTGATACTTCTAAGTTCTTCCCTTTCTTCACCTTCAGTATAACCGCATTAATCGTCTGTACCAAGCTGCGGAGATATTCCTGCTACAGATCATAGAAATGGATTCCTGGGTTGGAATTGTCACATTCCATTCTACAGCACAAATTACATCTAATCTACGACAAATAGTCAGTGAGAATGTACGCCAGGATCTCATCAAATGCCTGCCTAAATCAGCTGGTGGAGGAACTAGCATCTGCGCAGGAGTACGCAAAGGATTTGAGGTGAAGGAGAACTTGGGGGGGATGTATCCTGGAATGCAGTGATAATGAAATGGAACTAGGAAG